CACGAAGGAGCAATAAATATGTACGGCTTCTCGATTCAGCAGTTGATGACACACTTAAAGGAGTGCCTGAACTGCTCAATCTTCAGATGGTCCGGGAGGTATTACGCACAAATGAGAGGGCTGGCAATGGGACAACGACTGGCTCCAAGCCTTGCCATTGCATTCATGTCTAAGGTGGAAGCGCCAGTAATCGACCTCGGTCTGTTACTCTACTGTAGATATATAGATGACTGCTTGGTCATTTGTTCAATGCAAGAAGAAATCGACAGATGTTTCGAGTTGTTGAACACACGGTCAGAGTATATTAAATTCACTCGAGAGAAACCAAAAGAAGACTGGCTTCCATTTCTGAACGTGCAAATTAGCCTATCAGAAAACGGCTACATTACGAGGTGGTATCGAAAGCCAAGTAGTAAAAACATCCTAGTTCATTACCTCTCCTCTCATCCCTCTCACACGAAAAGGGCGCTTGTGAGAAACATGCATCGAACAGCTACCAGCGTGCGCACGGAAAGAGAGCAGAGGGAGGAGTCCCGGAACTTGGCACGGCAAATAGCCATTTCTAATGGCTACGAAACTGTAGCTCAGGATAGGTGTAGGGGAAATCCTAGGCCTCCAAACAACAACTCTAACGACAACAAGGTCCCGTTTATACTGCCCTTTATTTCAAATGAAGTAAGTGCAGCTATAAAACGCTGTTTAAGAAAGGCCAGTCTAGAGAATTCGGTAACGATAATCGAAATACCACCGAATAATCTAAGGCGCCAGCTAGTTCGTAACCGCCTATACGACCGTCTATGTGCAACGCAAAATTGCATAATTTGCCCCAATGGTAGAGACGGTGACTGCATGAGTTCGGGTACAGTCTATCTGATCTCTTGTAAAGCGTGCGGGGACGAATACGTTGGCGAAACGGGTAGACCACTCTGCGTTCGTATAAAAGAACACCTAGTCGGTAAACGTAAGCTAAGTACTCCACTAGGTACGCATAGCACGCAGAAACATAACGGAGAAGATTTTGAAGTAAGGGTTACGATCCTCGCGCAGGAATCGAGAACACAAGCGCGCAAAACTCTAGAGGCATTCCGGATAAATTCCAAGAATCCGAAAATGAACCGCAGGGAGGAATGCCTTGTTATCACGCGTGATATTGGACAGTATATAAACCTGTTATTCTGATGGGAGGGGCACATTACGCTTCCATGTGAATTCTGTGCGGTCGGTCTTCACGCGATATACTCAGTGGAAGACTCATAGAAAGCGGTGAGTGTGCACAGCTGTGTTAAATGTGATTGAAATCTTGGTTTAGCGTTTTCTCTTTTTGGTTATGGAGACGTTTGGCCGAATAGATTGCTGTCAACTTGACCTTTCCAGGCTCTGAGGAAGGCGAAATCCGCCGAAACGTCAGCTTGTGCGTAAATAAAGAAATAAAATAACACCTCGTGTTTGCTGAACAGAAGTAGAGAGGACTAATGTTAGCGTTATTCGGAATACTAAACCGCTGAAAAACAACATCACGTGACTTAAAACCAGTTTTAAAAAAGTGGGTCAAAGAAGAGCACTCACTTCAACCTTTGAAGAAGTCCTCCTAAGTTCGCTTTCCATATATTTCTTTGCCCACTTATCTACGAACGAAGCAAACCGCTTTTTGCTTCTTTGCAATGCGTCCCTTAGTTTCTTGAAATCAGTGCTTTTCTTTGCTCGTCTCGCCATTTTCCTTCGCTGGATTAATAGTATATAAATATATAGGCAATCAGTAATTTTAGATTAATGAAAGGAAAACCAAAAAATACGAAAATAAGATTTTCTCCCAAGTCCGACTTTCTATTAACCTCAGCATTGATTGAATATATCTTTCTACTAATGTAGCCGTTTTCTGATATGCTAATTTGCACGTTCAGAAATGGAAGCCAGTCTTGGTTTCTCTCGGGTGAATTTAATATACTCTGACTGTGTGTTCAACAACTCGAAACATCTGTCGATTTCTTCTTGCGTTGAACAAATGACCAAGCAGTCATCTATATATCTACAGTAGAGTAACGGCCCGAGATCAATCACCGGTGCTTCCACCTTAGACATAAATGCAATGGCAAGGCTTGGAGCCAGTCGTTGTCCCATTGCCAACCCTCTTATTTGAGCGTAGTACTTTCCAGACCATCTGAAGATTGAGCAGCTCAAGCATTCTTTGAAGAGTGCCATCAGGTGCTCTATCCTGAAGCCATACATGTTTATTTCTCCTTCGTGTTGTACAAGGAGTTCGAATATGGCTTGCATTGCGAAGCCATTCGACACGTTTGTATAAAGGGCGGTAACGTCGAAGGGCTCCATCACGCACGCGCTGTTGGGCTGCGCCGTACATAGACGATCCAGAAACATCTGGGTATTCGTAAGATGGGCTGTAATGTGTTTCAACAACTGGTTAAATATTAGGGTTAAAAACCATGTTATCCAGTCCGTTGACCCGTCTACGCAGCTATTGATAGGTATAACCTTAAATAGTGATGGATCGGTAGACGCAAGATCATCGCTGGATACTAACTTATGAGTTTTTATAAGTACAAGACGGGGCATGTTGGTAAGTCAACTTTAAGTTGAGAGATAACTGATGGTTTAAAACCAGCAACCCTTGCCATTTTCGCCCATTCGTGGTTCAATTTTCGGTATTTTCTTTTAAATTCCTTCTCAGATGATGGGCGATAAAGCGAAGCATCTTCAATATGCTTTTTCGTTATCTCCACATCTAATTGATGGGGAATTACGAGAAACTCTCCACGCTTATCACTAACGGATAGTCTTATGGTTTTCAACCTTATCAGCTCTTTTACCTCTCGCATGCCACGTTTTTGCACTTCAGTGAGGTTTGAGCTGTATCTTTTCGCGCGATAGTGATTAAGGACTTTGAGAGTTTCATTCGTAAAAATCCGAAATTTAACATCGACTTCATTATCGGGCTTTTGTTGTCTAAAGAACGGCTGAGTGAGGAAATGGTGCTATTGGTAGGGCCCCACTTGGTGTTGTTCGCACCTTATCACTTACCTTGGTTTAGCGTGTTTTCTGTTTGGTTATGGAAGTGTTTGGCCGAATAGATTGCTGTCAATTTGACCTTTCCAGGCTCTGAGGAAGGCGAAATCCGCCAAAACGTCAGCTTGTACGTAAATAAAGAAACAAAATAACACCTCGTGTTTGCTGAACAGAAGTAGAAAGAATTATTAAATCAGTGATTTTGTTCGTATTTTTGTTGAGCAAACGCGAGGTGTTATTATTCCTTGTTCACGATTAAGCTGACGTTTCGGCGAATTTCGCCTTCTTCAGAGACCTACTTGGTGGAGACCTCATAGAAAGCGGCTCTGAAGAAGGCGAAATTCGCCGAAACGTCAGCTTAATCGTGAACAAAGAATAATAACACCTCGCGTTTGCTCAACAAAAATACGAACAAAATCACTTGATCAATGCCGAGGTTAATAGAAAGTCGGTCGTGGCAGTTATTAAATCAGTGCCGAGGTTAATAGAAAGTCGGACGTGGGAGTTGCCAACATTAGTTTTTGCTGTAAGTTTTCCTTTGAGGAATTCGACCCTCTTTAAATACGCTTCGTCAAGGAATCATTCTATCTTGGATCAGTGGTATATACTTGGATATAGTGCATTCAAACCTTGTATTTTTAGGAAACACCGTCTGATGTTCCTGTAAACAATTCAAAACATGTGATAAAAAAGAAAACCTCTCAACCAATCTTCCTGAGCAGTAGGGTATTGTCTCATTTTCTCTATCTGCTAGTGATAAATTAAATTCTAACCTTACCTTGTTTAGCTGACACCAATGTTGTCCCGAAGGATGGTCGGGTAAGAGCACCTGGAAAGTCTCGTAAGCGACGCCTCCAACGCCCCTGTGGTCTCTCCAATTGAAGCCTGTCTTCTACTGGCGAAATCTACCGGACGTGTTTTATACTACTCTTAATTTTTTAATCTTCTAACTGCTCTCTCTCTCTCTCTGTCACTCTCTGTCCTATACCTAACACTTGTCGAAGTTTTACTTTCCCCGTTTTAATTGTTCCTTTTATTATTGAAGTGTTTCGTGTTCGTTCTAGTCCAGTTTGTTTGAAAAATAATTTACATTTTAACTTCCTAATAAAATCGTTACGTTTTATGGGTTGTATGCATTACAGCTAATGACAGAGAAATGACTACTTGACTACACATTGGAGGAGGCACTCGTCGATGACGTTCGAGGCGGTTCGGAGATCTGGGTGTGTGAGCTCTATTAAGAAATGATACTCGTCTGCCATTGTATGACAAGATATAAGATTTTCTTCGGCAATATTTTTATTGGGAAAATGTCACACGGTAGCTGAACAACAATAAGGCTTACTTCTACGGTAACCATGTTGTCCTAACACCTTACTGAACTGTATTAGTGCTCGTAATAGTTCGCAGGATTGACTTTCTATTAACCTTGGCTTTGGAATATGAATGCTTCGTTTTCTTGTTCAGCAATCGCGAGGTATTTAAACAGCATACATTGACTTCCATAGAGAAACACAATACAATACAACACTAGCTGACGCTTCGGCAGTATCGCCAGGGAGGGTGATTGCATGAGTTCAGGTACGATATACCTGACTTCTTGTAGTACTTGCGGAGACGAATATATCGGCGAAACGGGCAGACTTTTATGTATCCGCATAAAAGAACACCTAGATGGCAAACGAAAATCAAAACAAGGCGCGCCACTAGGGACGTATAGGATACAAAAACATAGCGAAGATTTTGATGTAAAAGTCTCTATTATTGCACAGTAGACGAAAACACCAAAGCGCAAATTTCTCGAGGCTTTTTGGATAAATTCCAAAAATGCAAACTTTGCAGAAACGCGAAAGAAAACCAGCAAATCGAGTCACTGCTGCTTTTGCTAGTCGTTTTACTACTGGAACTAATCCCGTATGCAAACCTGCACATAATGATTCACATTGAAAATGGATGAAAGGAGCTTCGTCGATTTCAAAATGGAAAATAGCCCACTGATTGGATCTCATGTGGTTGGAAAAGCTTTTCGAGAAGAGAGGCCTTTTCGTAGGGCTCCAGTTCCACGCTTGGGTGAAAACTAGCTCGTCTGTTATAAAGTTAGCTGAATTTACTAGTTAGTTACTGTGTGCCTATTTAGCAGTACAAATGATGTTTACGTGGATCGGCGACGAAGGAGTCGACATCGGTTTCATGCGACTTTCCATGTACACTACACCAGGATTACTTGCCATCCTGGTAAATGCGTCGTGGTCTGTTTTATTTTAAACTGTACCTTTTTCAAGTCTCATGTTATATTTCGCATAGGCGAAAATTCCTGACTGAAATTATGAAAAACACACAAGTTGCTAGATATTTAGATCTATTTGTATTAGAAGATCAAATCACCGCCTTTTCTAGTGCTCTTCTTGGATGATGGTCTGGATCGGTTCAGCAATCCGAACACGGACAGAGTTTCCGCTTACAGTATCGCCGCGGCCAGTGATTCCGATTTTGGTGAGTGTTTCTAGGAATCTTCCCGCGCTCGCACCCCATCTACTGAGCATCGACCATTTCGAGTTACGGTAGCGGCCGGTGATCGTGTAATTATTGTTCAGATTTTCACCTTTCTGTTTGCGTTGTGAAGCGTTTGACCTAGTAAATTGCATATTAGTGTACCATTCCAGGCTCTGAAGGAGGCACTGCCGAAACGTCAGCTACCCTTGTGTTGTATGAGTTATATTTGTAAAGGAAATAAAGGTGTGCTGAATAACAACCTCGCCATTGCTGTAAAAAAAGGGAACAACAGATTTATAACTTCGCAGGTGTTTCCTGTTTTGTCATTTGTACTATTTTCCGTTTTTCGTGCTTGTATTCGTTCTATAAGGTGAGTTGTCGAAAACCAAATGGGCCGGACACGTAACATTTCTAGAGACAACCGGTGGATAAGACCCATTAGCAACTGGATTTCTCGAGATATTATACGCATAGAGGAACACCACCGACCTTATGATCAAAGTTCTTCACAAAAACCTTGGAAGAATCATATGATGCATGCTGGGCTCTCAGAACGAGCTGGCTACTATTCCACACGACATAGAGAAATGGAAAATCTTCTACCGCAAGCATGGTGCTACTAGACGATCAACGGGACGACAGGTGATGCAAGTAATGGTTTTCATTTGCTTTTGATCACTAAAAAATGCGTGAAAAACCGTACCATTAATGAAAAAGCGTGAAAAATGGTCTTGTACATCCCTGGAGAACTAATTAGCCTAATGCTTTGGCTTCAGTAAGCAATGCGCGCGAGGAAAAATTGGGCGCCGTCTGATGGGTCGTATTATATGCAGTTTGGAAGAACAAGATGAAGAAAGTTTAAAGGAGACTGCTGACTATACAAATTAAGATTCATGTATCGAGTTTTTCTGCCAAGGTTACGAAAGTGTTTCAATGGATAGAATGCATGTCAATTTGAAATTTCGAGTCTTTAAATAAGCAGAAACTGCGGTTACCCCAGCTATTCCTAATAAACAATCAAATGACATCCTCGTGTCCGCTAATTAAGCAAACAGTGCATAGTTGTCGATGTTTATCGTATAATCTTTTAACGGGTCTTTTCATAAGCAATTAGAACGAGTATGTCTAGAAACTAATGTCGAACATCTTGCTATAGATAATGTACTAATACTGTTTGTACTGAATACCAATGCAGTGACACTACCAGACTAGAACATCGGTTCGCGCTGCAGATGCTAGTTAAGGAATGCAAATTGGATTGAAATGAAACAATAACAAAATTGAATAAAAACTATATAGAGGCCGGCAAATAGATACTAAAATGGTCACGCCAACTTTTCTAGCTGCCAAAGTATTCTAGAACGCTCCGCCGCTTCAGCTTCCTTAGTATTCTTGCTGGGCTGTGACCACTTGTTCGGCATACACTGTCTTTTTTGGTTTCCTCTACGTTTCGGCGACGATCTCCTGGCCATTGGCAGCACGATTCCATTGCTTGATGACAGCTGCATGCTAAAATTACCATAATAAATCTGAAACGGGGAAAAAAAGTATGCTGGAAGGTTAGGGAGTAAAACTCATCGCACACAAATAATGAGAGGATTATGGGCAACCAAAAGATCGAAGGTAATGAGCGCTTCTCATGTGCATATTTGGCTACGCTTCTGACTCTGCTCGTTCTATTTACGATTTGAATTTTTCAAATGTTGATTGCTACTACCCTGAAACATTCCAGATAATAAAAATATTTTCTAACCTCATGCACTGCAGCTGACTAGGATAGGGATCGCGTGAAAGCATGATGAAAATCACTGGAGTATCAAGAATTACTTTCAACCTGAAAACAGCTTGCTACAGAGACGCGCATATATTTTTCCGCATAAATTGTTGGAGAGCAAAAAATGAATGAAAAGATTAACAGCATAGTCACACCTGGTTTCTACGCAAAAAATAACTTTTTACAAATTTTTACACAAGACAAAGGAAATAAAAGCTCCAGAACTAGTCGGCAAGAACAATTAGAACACACTTTAACACACCTGACCACCCGACTTTATACCCAATCCTGTAGTGCAAAAACTAAGGCTCCAGTTTTAATCTTAAGTAAATGCAAAGCCCAAAAATATTTTGTAAATATCTCTGTGAAGGGACAGTAGTTCAATAGTTCACTGTTCTCTTAATGAGCAAACACGAGGTTGTTACCATAGCATCTACTTATCCACAAAAGCTTATGTTTCGACGAATTTCGCTTCCAAACAGCTTGGAAAAGTCAGAATAATTGCGACCTTATCAGCCAAATACCTCCGCAACCTCAACAAGAAGACCACGATACCCACTTTTCAATCGTGTTGAGAAAAAACAGCCACAACATGCTCACCCTTTTATACAAACCTTCCACTCAGGCTTTCAATGAAGACAAGCGTATAAAATTCATATGGATAAGTAATGTGCCTCTCTGATGCCAAAATATCAATCTGAAATATTATGTGAGACCAAATGTGATAGAGAGGCACCCCACCCAGCCGTTCATATCTGGACTCTTGGAATTTATACAGAACGCTTCAAGAATTTTGAGCGCCCATGTTTCCATTCCCGATCGAGGATGGTGAGTTCTACTTCGAAATCTTCTCCGTTACGCCTCTGAGTCCTATGCGAGCTTAATGCAGGATATTGTTTAACTTTAAGCTTACTGACTAGATGTTCTTTTACATAGACGCAGATATATCAGTTTTGCCAAAGTATTCGCTCCCCCACGCTTTATAATTGATTAAATGCACCGGATCCAAACTCAGGCAATCACTTCCTCTAGTTTTAGGGCAAGTTATGCAATTTTGCAATGTGATTATACAGTTCTACAAGTGGTTACCAATTGGCTGGTGTCTTTGAGTGTTCGGTGGTATTTCAACCATTCTATCGATTTCCCTAGACCCACTCTTCTTAGGCAACGTTATAGAGCTATGCTTATCTCATCGGAAATAAAGATCATGATAAACAGGAACTCATTCTCGCTAGACATACCGTCTGTGGACGTCGTTCATTCTTCAAACCTATTTCGAGGAGTTGCCGTTTCAAAGTCACTAAAAACGACTATTGCCCGTACCAATTTCACGAATTTTTCCTTCTGCTCTCTCATGCCTCCAAATAATGTCTAGCTATAATAAGGTTCCATTTACCGTTTCCTTTATTCGCAATGAAGTAAGCATAGCTTTAAACGCCGCCTAAAACAGTCGGTCTAGAGAAATTGGTAGCATTGATTGGAACACCACCGTATTCGAAACTGGTGGTATGGCCTTCTATATACCCGGAAAATAGCACAATTTGCCTTAGCGGTATAAAAAAGCTAGATGGTACGCGTAATGTTAAACGAAACACTCCACCAGGGCATAGAAATATTACAGAGATAATTTTGGAGTAAAAGTTTCCATTGTCGGAAGGGAATCTAAAAATTCAGCGCGTAAAACTCCTGAAGCATTGTGGATAAATTCGAAGAATCCAAAAATGAACTTCAAACAGCAAAGTCTCATAATCACGCGTGAGCTTATACAATATTTAAGACATATTTTAATGTGAATGTGACAGAGACATATTACCCGTCTATGTACGCTGTACGTTTGGTCTCTACGTGGGATACTCACTGCAAGGCTCATGGAAAGTAGTGAATGCGTGAAAAATCTGTTTTATTTCCAAAACGATTGAAATCTAGGGTTCGTGGTTTTCACACTGAGGTCATGGAGGTATATGGCTGACTAGATTGCAATCAACTTGACTTGCTCAGGCTCTGAAGAGGGAGAAATCTGCCTGTGTTAGATTTTTTGGATAAATAAATAGTACAGCGATTTCGTGTTTGCTCATGAACAGAACAGTGAATTATTAATGAATGTCGAGGTTAAGACGAAGTCGGCGTTAGGAATTACTCTTCTACAGGGCTGTAGGTTTCTAAGCTCCTCCATATCTACTATTGCAGGAAATGGTGCTGAGATAGCGCAGTGGATAGTGATGCCGTCGATTAGGAGGCAAGGCGCTGGTTCGACTCCGTCCAACGCTCTCTTCCAATATACATAAAACGCCTTATCCCAAAACTGCAAGAAGTATCGACTCGACCAGTATTCTAAAGCAGCTGAAACGATATGCGAAATGTTCGAAGACCACTGTGGAAGATGAGTGCGAGGAAAACGAAACGAGTGCCAGAAGTGCTAGGATCCCCATATCATAGTTGATGTGATGACGGGTCAGGTAAAAAGGAAAGAAAATTGGAGAAATTATCGTCTTTTGTTCAAACATCGACTTTATCCCGAATGTGTTAAAACGTAGTCAAAGATGGACACATATATTGGGAAATATCATAAACTATTGAACAATAACCAACACGTTACAACATTGCAACACATTATCATATTACAATGTTATTATTATTACCACTGTTATTATTATTACTACTATTATGATTACCAAAACCACCGACCAAATGAAGGACCGAGAACACGAGCTCACCTTTCCGATTCTACGGTCCTCCCAGCGCTCTGTTATGCTGCAGAGACGTGGGTTGATAGTTCAACCACGTCAAGAATGCTTCGCACTACTCACAGAGCGCTTGAGCGATGTTTTCTGAAATATAACCGGCACTATCATTATCTAGCCGGAATGCGAAGCTCTGACCTTCGAAATGTGTCATATCTTCGATCCAGGAGAATGTATATCGATAGCGAAACACAGATGAGCCGGCCACATAATGAGAAGAACAGACGACAGATGGACGAAAAAAAAACAGTAGAGTGGACTCCAAAAGAATGCAAACGACTCCTAGGACAACCAACTACATGTTGGGCGGACGTGTTCGTAAACAAAATTAATCAGCTGTACCCGCAACTGCAGTTATTTTACAGACCACGGTATGAGACTCGCACGCGCCGTCACGCTAGAATAAAGCCACCACCATGGACGACGACTGCGAGGGAAAGAAGCGAATGGAAAATGTGCTGGTGTTCGCACAACTGAAGACAGATCATCCAAGTATCCAAGTAAGTAAATAAGTATTACCACTATTATCATTATCGTTATTATTACTGTCATTAATAGTATTACCACTACTATTACAGTAACACTATACCCGCAAATAAAGCAAGCATAAAACCGAACACTGTACCAAAGACAATAGAATCAAAACCATTCACCTGTTCATGCCCTCTACAAGAGGATCCCAATAAGTCACACGCTTTGCTGTACCAAGCGCGTTCCACTGATAGAGTTCCTCCTATAAATGGATGTTATAGAAAGGTATGACAATAATTTAACAGATAACCTTGGATATGAGTCATATATGACTCGTTTTCTTCCAAGTTGTTTGTTTCGCACAAGTGAGCTTTTTTCTACACTTTAGTTTCGATCGATAGCTTAGCCATCACAGATCTTCATCGCTTGTTGTGTGGGAGAAGCTGCATTCTACCTTTCACAATATGTAAAAATTACACTGGCTCACAATGCGCATTTGTCAATGTGCTTAATTCAAATGAACTTTTGAATTAAAATTATATCACAAGTTCTCAACTCAGTCGTGCTCAAATACTAGTGGAAATAAAAGAAATATAAAGATTCCATGTTATACTCAAGTGCCTAGAGATGACTACAATAAAGATATCACCGTTGGTTCCATAGTGCGCCCAGGTTTTCCAAAACCACTACTCCGAGAGAGAGAGAGAGAGAGAGAGAGAGAGAGAGAGAGAAGGACCATACACACATACACACGCACACACCAAAACACAGAGCGGAAAGTACAATAAAAAGTTACATATGACCAACATAAGTTAACCGTTGAGTGTTATGTGTTGAAAAGTATAGAGACAGGATATAAAGCGTAGCCGCATCAGAGCCTTAAAAGCGTAAGAAGAAACAAAGACCAACATTCAACATATTTCCGACTAGTCTGAAGACTAACAACTAAAAATCATTGAGAAACGATAAAATCACCTGTCGTTTTCGTTTGAACACCTCTACACACGAGACACACTTTTCCGCTGCATCCCCAACGCCACGAAAAATTACTCGTCGAGCATCGTTCTAAACATCAATACGAATTAACTACTATAGTGGAAAGTCTGTCATGTGGGGATGACTGGTACAGACACTAACTCATAATTTTTAAAGGATAAAATATAAAAGGTTACGCATTTGCGTTGGTGAATCCTTTGGTGACAGTCTCATGAAAGAATGCGTACTTGCGATATCTTATCGATATGTCAAGTCAGTGTTTCTACTCATCCAAACCAACTTGTTGGCAACAATTATCCAACCCTGGAAGGATGGAGAGCTTCATAAGCCAGAGAAGCGGTATCGAATCAAATCGGTCCTTTAGGTATTACAAGGCAGCTCTATCACTTCGTGATGCGAGCCCTAACAATTCTTTAACCATAACGAAGCCCTCAAAGTATTCGGTACATTGTACAAACAACCACCTAATTCCACAAAAGGATATGGAGAAAATGGAGAAAATAAACGCTTTCTCAAAAATAGACCTACAATTACGAGAGGAATAAAATATGACGATGTCAATTTTTGTCATAAAGAATAAAACCCAGTAGTTCCGGAATCTTAAGGTTCCAAATCTAAACAGTGCCATTTTGATCTGATGAAGTAAGCGCAGATCCTAAAACTAACCTGAAATAAATTGTCCACATAGTTAATGATGTTTCCAAATCTTGTGTTCTTTCGAAGCTCCATGATCGTAATACCTGACTTCATGAAGTCATCGAATGGCGGCTCCGCATCCAAAACATCTTCTTCCTCAGAAATCACATACTTGTCCATAGTTCACTTGGCACATTCACTGCAATTATCAAAGAAATGTAACATATAACGATGTATGCACGACTGTATAGAGACTTGCACTGGGGTTAGACAACCACTTAAAAACGACACACGATGTCAGATAACCAGATGAACTCAAATCCATTACGATTTATAGAGACTGCAATTGCTGAAACATAGTGAGAACCGATGAAGTACAATTCTGTGACCAAACAAGTTATGTAAGAAAACCTCTTTCCAACGTAGAATATGTAAAACTACCAAAGTGTTTAATGCGCGCTCATCTAATAAATTTTTACTTGTTCGGCTCGGTAACAAATTCGTAGCAGAGTTATGGCAGAGATGATTCTGTTGTGCTTTATGGTTACGTATTTTACTATACATCCACCTATACAACATGGCAGCCATTTATCGTAGCCATTGTAAAAATACAACACTCAGTAAATTCAAGAATTGGCAAAATTTCATCCAAGTTCAACTACGCAGATCTCAGCCCTGTTATGTAACTTAGGGAAGAATACTCTGGGCTCGCCTAAATTGTATTCACGACCTAGAATTATGTTGGTGAACGATGGATTGCTTTTCCTTATTCTATTTTAACTCGTCATCCAGAGTTATTACGAAGACATGTAAATTAGGCACGTTCCTGCGCTCCACGCCAACGAAAGCGAACTGAAAGATGAAGAACGAAAGCGATGATGAAGATGATGAAGAGATGTAATGAAGATGACGATGATAGGGACCAGTCATCAGTGGTCTGACAATCCTATCTATCATGGCCACTTATTTTCAACTATCTTATCTTTATTGACTTATTTCATGAGTAGATCGTAAACATCTCAACCTATGAATGTAAATTGTATGCTGACTGTTTTAAGTATGACGATTGTAGGTTGTAGAGAACAGTATGTATATTGCATGGCAAAGTATAAACATTGTTTGAGGAAGTAATTTGTGGATAAAAGAAGGATAAATGTATTTGAAATGATGTTTAGAGCATCAATCAAGTGGAAGGAGAACAAGATACTGAAGTAAGACAAAGTAAGCGGAAGGACAGTGAGAAACGCTTAACCCTTCCACAGACAATAAATTTCATCAAGCCAAACAGACAACTATATTACAGTTACAATTCCCTAAGTGCCCTCAGTGGTTCAGCATCTTATCGAAATGAAAAGGCATTCTTAACTGTCGAGCTTTAGTGTTCATCTCTGTAGACCCTTCTCAACGGCAACAACCTCTGTTATGAGCACCACTTGTGCCGTCTTCTTCTGGGAAGCAAACTAGTGCCACGAGCAGTTTTTGTAGAATATAGTCCTTTTTATCTGACATCCAGTGCCACATCTGAACCGGAAGAGGTATCAACTAGCTTCAAAAAATTCTGTACGTACAAATAACCCAAAGCAAAGTAAACGAGAGAGAATCAGCTAAACCAATACTGGCTATTATGTTCACCACGTGTTAGATGATCGGTCAATTTGTTTTGTTCCAAATGCACCCGAGTATCACACATCAAAGTTTAACACCTATCTCCTATTTATTCAAATGTCCTCGCGAACTATGCTTGTTTAGCAGATGCGAGGTTGGTACAAGTTGTCGTTGTTGTTGTTGTTGTTGTTGTCGTTCGATGGCTGATGTTTCGGCGATTTCGTCTTCCTAAGAGCCTTGCTGTTACCAGTACGCCTATCTCTTGTTTTCTGGCTCTTCCCTCTTAACAACTATGTTCGTGTGGATTTCGATGAGATTTCCACATGATTTTCTTTTTATTCTCGCTCCTTATGTTTCCTGTCTGCCCTTACTGGCCATTTGCTCAATGTATACAGCAGTAAAATCTAGCCCATTTAAAGGAGCTCTTTAATGTTATTCAACAGCCCACAGCTTGTTCGTAGATTAAGAACAGCTTGCATAACACATTTCTAACAACATATCGCGATATCCTGTCAGATTCTCACTTTTCGTCGGTTCTAACTGGACATAGCATCATTGAGAATTCATCTGATCTACGCGGCGCATTTCCATTCCACGTGTAGTAAGATGATCTGATCCAATAGAAGGAAATAAAGTGGCACTGACTTTGATTAGATTCCACTCTCTTAACAACGATGTGATCGATTACCGCAAGAATCATACCGTTTGAACATTCCAACGTGCAACGGTGATGGTATTTCTTGTTGAAGATTGAGTCCTAATGAAAGAGATGGTCACAAAGAGTAGCCCCATAAAACAACCTCCGTTTTTAAAGCGCTGCCCTGAATTGAGCCATGGATGGGTGCACGACAAATCCAACACCACCGACATTTAGGCCATAGGATTTTCTCACCAAGACGACAAGAGTTCGTTCTATTGTTCACCTAACAACTGAAAGATGTTCACTATTTCACCTAACGGCTGATAGCCTTCTTGCATTTCTTTTTCTCTAATGTGTGACTACATCTTACTCGAGACGATCCACAACACCCAAAAAAACATGAGCGGTGACATACTCTTACATGTGTATAATTGGAAGCAGTATCCATGGGGTATTGTGATACAGCGCCGTTTCCCAAACACTGATATCTTCCACTTGAACATGCTGAAGTCTGCTCCAACTTTCCTGAGACAACTTTACTAAAGCGCTGCCAGGTCTTCAATATCAGCACGCACATGCCCGCATGGACCAGGCAGAGTTTACTCCAAACTTGTGCAGCTCAATCACCACATTATAGATGATAGTGAAGAGGCGCGACTGACATGAAAATGGCATCCATATTAATCTACGATTCCTAGAAAACCTTAGTTTCCATGAAGTGGAAATGATAATCGAAGTGCTTAACTACGTCGAGAAAGACTTAGACGAAATATGAGATCAAGGAAAACCTGTTTTGCGATTTTGAACAAACAGCGATAGCTTTTGAAAGCCGGATATCTCTTATACGCAAGGCTCTTCACAGAACTTTAAACATCACGGAAGAGAAACTGTAGGGAAGAAAAGTAACATCACAAACTCTATATGGAGCATTCAAAATAACGATTGGTTAACTAGCAAACCCATCCCTCAGAGCCAACCTATCAGACCTTTCCTGCGCTCACCGTCACGCGCAGCATCGAAGCAAACTATGTTTCGGCACTTCAAAAACATTAGGGTCACATAGCAAGGTGTAGCATAGTGTAATGGTTAAGCAAGGATAGTTGTAGAATTGGCATAGATACCCACCCGTTCTCTTCACCAAAATGCCAAGTTCAACCTCGTTTGAAACAATTCAGACTGAATGTATTTCAAAAAACCTTCATATAACTAACGATTAGACGTACCAAATCCTAAAGTAAAGTCCAGCGAAGAATCATAGACAACTGGAAATGCATTTTTTGTTTGACAGAAATAAAACGTTACACACGTCATCCATTCAGAAATTCAGACCTAATCATAAATCAAATGACCCAGCCATAAGCGCATAGCCAATGTGACGCTTGGTGAGCATTTCGGTTTCGAATGCGGCTTATATACACATGACTCGTAAAGATGGACCACGAAAATACCCAAGTGTACGTCCCTCATTGAAAACATTTCTTAATTTAAGAAATATTTCTATGTTAACCTTAGAGGCGGGATAGCGCACTGCCTAGCAATGCTGCCGACTGGGAAGCAAAGGTGCTACTTCGATCCCTGCCTCAATGTTTTCCACAATCCACGTGTGAGCGCCTTAGCCTGACTATCTTCAAAATTTCAAGGAGGACTGAATCGATCAATATTCTACGACGTTCATGAAGAAAACGAATTCCTCAAGCAGCAGTTGAAGACACACGCAAAGAGTTAGAAGTCCATCGTGGATGATGGATGCGAGGAAACGAATAGAATGTAAGCGCTGAGATCCGCACAGTAGATGTGGTGATGGGTCATGTAAAATGTAAGAAAGTAGAAACTGTTCAACTTAACCATAATGAGGGTTGGATGGACGCTATAAAGAATTCTTTGGTTCTTCAAGACTTATCCACATAAAGAAGTTCGTAAACGAACGTATGATAATGACATCCACATGCATACGTACAGCATTTAGAATCATATGGATTGATACAATATCGTTGTTGAATATTACATCCACCACATTACACATAACGTGAACAACAAGACTTTTATGCCCCTAAACTATAAATTATTCAGTTACAAACTTTAGCCTGGACGCATCTGCTATCAATATGTATCATCTGACAATAAAGATATAGGAAGCGTCAGATGTACTTTGCTGGACAATGAATTTCTATTCTTAACCGCATTAACTGCTAGATCTCATCCAATAGACGAACTCACGACAGTAATTAGTAAACCGATTACACACAAACAATAGATTACACACTTATTAATGTTTCTCCATAAACATGCTGTGACGTTGCCGAACCTTCTCAATAATCATCTGTTCGATTTCCACACCACTTTTTAGCTGCTCCTAAACCATACAGTCACTTATACACTAAGTGCAACATTTCACTACAAAAGGTACACTTGATGGCAGACGTCATCGACAAAAAAGGTATAGAATAAAATCAATTTGGAAAAAAGTACGAAGTCCGCTCTAAACAAACACTACAAACTTATAACTGTACAGTGTTCCTATGCTCCCAACGGTTTACCGCCTCATCGTGGCTCGGTGTTCCTGGGTGTCGGGCTGCGATGTACAGCTGGATCCATCCTCTGGGAATGTCTCCTAAGCTGGGAAGGAGTCCGGCGTTTCCATTAAGAAGCCCAGCCAAGAGTAACCAATACCAAGACTCACCATAGTCCTAGTATCAACTTAGTCGCATGGTGGCAAATCTCCCTCTGATCTACAAGGGCGGCAATTGCCTGTGGTGGTGACGACCTGGAGCAAACCTAGGCTAGGCTGACCTCGGGACTCCAGAGAACCACAACAGCTAAACCAGAAAAGTCCAAAAAAAGAGGAAATTATTGCTCGGGCCCACACAATCAGCGAAGACGGGCCACCCAAGTATTCAAGTGTGTACCGCGTTCCTACATATTCAATCCTAGGAAATACTGTTCGATGAGCTTTATTTTTAAAGCATATTCTGTACTCATAATAACAATTCCAGAAGCGCACTGAATTACCTCAGTCAAATCAATGTTCTCTGTATTCTGGGCGTCAACTAGAACCACATGATGCTTCCTAGTCTGTAAGACATTGCCAATAACCAATTCGTGTCCATATTTCTCAATCGCCGCACGTGCTTTCGGAACCAGTATCGACTCGTCAGTTTCAAGCTAAATATTTGAGAATATGAATGTTATGACATTTGGTACTCGGCCTACAAAAATATGAAGATTCCGAGTACCACCATACATTACCTTAAATGACACAACATACGCTTCAGGCACTATCTTGTTAACTATCTGGTCAATTGCTTTCGGTGCAAGACTTAATCGCAGGTTTAGCTCACCACCACTTGATTGGATCTTGTGTGTAGGCTGAAATATTCTAATTTTTCGTTTTCAGTTATTAAACCAAGCAATTAATGTGTCCCTCCAGAGGATACGTTATCATAAAGCGAACAAGCTTCTCCTCTTCGATATAGAAATCAGAAACAGCTGCTGCTAGATATAACAACGCACGTGATTTCAAAGGAGCTAACTGCCGACTAATCTGGAATAATAACGCCTGTCATTCTCACTATTTATCCCTAAGGAGTTAAAAACGAGAAGGAAAAAACAAACCTCATCTAAATAAAAGAAATAGGACTCTAGAGTGGAGAAAGCTACGTACAAAATCCGACATTTATATTGTGCAGTCAGTTCGATAGCTTCTTTGATCTTGGGCAAATCGCAAATAACCTTGAATGCTCATTACTCCTAAATGTATCTCTATCTCAAAAAACAGCTTTCTTTTAAGCTCGGTATGACTATTCAACATCTACTTAAATTGTTTAGGCTAAACAAGGATGTTATGAAAACTATTATGACCGAACACTGATATCAACAAAAGCCGTCCTGTATAAATCAGCATCGCCGGATGAGGTAGCCTCATTCGAGTGGTGCTCTACCGAAGAAGATTCGACTTTATACGATGACGAAGACACCATATCAAGAGTGCAATGAACTATGGACATTGACTCGGATCATCGGCTCTGAAGAAGACGAAGGCGTCCAAACGCTAGTCAAATAAAAGTTTCATAACAACTTCGTGTAAGCTAAACAATTTAAACACATGTATCGCTATCTATAAAACAAATGCATATGGGCGAGAATAATGATAAACTGAGCTGTGTACAAAAACGGAATACCCGATCGCCATCAACCCTTAGTGAATCAAATATGTGAGGAAAATTCCTTGAAAACGGTTTTAGAGATTCTTCTCGATGTAGGAAGATCACAGCATAGTCCGCTTTCAAAAAGTACCTCAATAAAAGACATTTCTTGCAATAACACCCACAAAGTGTCTAGTAAGTCTGCAAAATCCCAAGTGATCAAATAGCCTATAACAGTTGCTATCAACTGGTATCTTCGCACTAGAACTCACTCGGAGCTAGCTGCACCTCTAGTTCCCATTGAGAAATTGTCAATAAATCGCACGCAATTCTTCTCTAAATTCACCTTTGTACCTCCACTCTGAAAAAGGTAAAGGAAAAAGTGGTGTGTGTAACATTTGCTAAAGCACAACTTCAAGTTTGAAATGATTAGATGCTCATGCTTCAAACGTAATGTGTATGAAACTTAAATAACATGTCTCTGTGAAAAAAACTTACCAATGCCTATTGTGAAAATTTAATGAGCACGTCTTGCAGTTCCTCACAGTCTCTAGTGAGAGCACAGTGCTTTCAAAATCGTCTCAAAGTCTGCCTATGTAACCGTAATACCGGATTCTCTACAATTTAACAAGGTTCCCCAACTCACCCACCGTGACAAACGCCAAGGGACACATCTTGTTCAATTCGAGAAACGCCTGAACTTTAGTCGCAACTGACTGGAATTTTTGCGGCATCTTGAACAGTGTTTGTAACAGAAAGGTTTGGGTGAGTATATTATAGGTGGTAAAGACGCGGATGCGTCTCCTGCTAAAAACAAAGAACACGTGCTTACGATTCAAATCTGCCATGCTTTTACTTCAAGTCAACAATTAAAAAAGACGAAAATGGAAACAGAGCGTTAACTATGTCTAGAGATAATATCATACGTAGTCTACGACGAGATACAACTAAACGACAAGATCTAACAATAAATTTTTTGTGGAAATGGAAAAACTAACGAAACCGTTTCTTAAACTTGGACACACGAACGGCACACAGAAAAAACTGGACATAGAAATGGGACATCTCACAAAAATGAACCATAATAGTAGGAAGTCCTAAACAAAACCAAATTGTTAACTGATCAAAAGAAGTGCAAAACAAGTAAAACAACCGAATATGGCTCAGCTGCGTAAAATCCAATCTCATACAAAAACATTAATTGAAAGGTTGCATCAGCACAATGCTCATTAACTTCAGAGCTTCTGATAAGCGTATAACTACCGGAATAAACGGTTTTCTGACAATTCAAGAAATCACTCCATCCGGTGATGTTTTTAGGATATTTCTGACATTTAGATGAAAGGAGCGAAAAATCGACCGATGGGACTCAATTAGTTCCCATGAAATAGCAATAGTTGGAAGGCTGCGACCAGTACACAACTCGCTGCACACAAATGTTGCAAGATTAAGAATTCGCATCTTCTATATGCCCAACTCCTTTGATCTCACTGTCCACTTCATTGCCCACTACTTCATTCATAGACGCTTCCTCTTCCTCTGATGGTTTCGAAACAGTGTCAGTGTCATTTTCATCACTCATCACTAGTTCAGCTAACACTGGTGTTTCTTCAACTATTTTTTCACGTTCGGCAGCTAAAAATATCGTTCGCTTAGAGCATTTAGCAACAACGATTGAAAAAAACCATACCGAGCCTTGCATTGATTTCGTCCTGCTTCTTCCTGTACTCTTTATAAGATTCCATTAGTTTACCTTTCATTTCTTCCAGCATTTCAGCATATTTTGACTCATCCAATTGTGGCTTTTCTTCGCAAACCTGTAACAGATATCAAACATTGATGTTCGATTAGGACAAAACTGGTTTTTCGCACCCTCTTGAGATTTTCAGCAAATTCTTCACTTCCTTTTTCAATTTGGCGCTTTTTCTCCTGATGAATTTCTTCCAACCTAAAATAGCGGGCATACCTTCGACAAACGAACAATAGAGAAAACAAAAAACCATTTGCAGACGAAGGAAACTGCACCTCACAAGTTCTTCTTCAAGTTTGCTCTGGTGAGCAGACAACGATTGAGCCTGCTTTCGTAGCATGTCCATGCGATTCTGAGCCACAATCTGTAAGCAAGTTTTTCCTCTGCTGTTTTATTTCCACAACTGATATCATCTCTCAATTGTTTCTATTATTTCTGGAACAAAAAAACTAGCAGCCTTCCACAATTATACTGACAGTCGTTTGTTGCAATGTCGAAATTTAAAACGACATGGTTTGGAGGATGTCATAACGCAATGCACGCCGATATATGGAAAAATTAACGTTTCTGTAACTAAAACTATGACAATATCCAGATTGCTAAACTCCAAAAAGAATTATTGATGATCGTCCGCGTTCTGGTGAAGCGGGTAGATGATCACCACCACTTACGGACGAGGTACCAACTTGCAGGTCAATGAGACTTTGATCAAGAATATCAGCATTTGCCATAGATGGTATACAGTCGTTCAAAAACCGAAGAATACTTGGATAGAAACCATTGTGAACAGGAGCATTTCCATAACCGACAACAGCTGGAGCAATCTGTGTGCCGCAAATTTCATTTAAGAAAAAATTCAACCACTGACAACGCAGCATTGAACTTCAGATGTAAATAGGAAAGCTTGCTTTTGAATACGGAAGCTGCATTATTCACGATGTGAACTGCTTAAGAAACAAACTTTGTACGACTGTGGACAGTAAATATTTACCGTTCGTGTATCTGTGACAACTGCTGGTGAAAACAAATCTCCAATCAAGCGATGGTTGCGATCGAAACTGAATCATTTCATCAGAAAATCAATTTAACACATTGAAAATACATTACTTCAAACGTTTCAAATTGAAAACTAACCGCACAGCAGCCAATCGCCGACATGAAAGTTCATTCCCAGCATCTTCTTCATCAACTGGTTGAATAACGACACCACCCACTTCCATACGACTGCGTGAAGACTTCTCATTTGCTTTGGCTCTTGTCTTAAAATTATACTTAGTTGACAGTTTATACCGGGAATAAGACTTAGTTGGATTACTCAATCCTATAAACAATAACAAATCTAAGAAAGAAACTATACCGAAACTAAACCAGAATACAATTCCTTAGTTGCATACAATAAAATCTTTCCACTATTCATAGCTCCACTAATCGAGGAACCATAGCTGGTGCTACATGTTACAAATTCACGCGGAGGAATAAAACGGTGTGTAAAAATTGCAATTATTTATTCTTGGAAGTGTTTCTTCGCCGACAATAAGTAGTGTCGAACAAGCAAATAAAGACTTCTTATAATGCGTTCATATACCCAATGATGTCTTTTCTTTCCCCTCGATTTTTAGGCTGAAAAACTGAAACATTCAAAAAAAAAAAACCGCAGAACTGCTATCCAAAACTGCAATACAGATGCAATACAGATGGGAAAAACATGAGCAACGACATCGTACTTACTTTAGCTGAGACGTATTGTTGATATGCATGGGAGCTTTGGTATGCTTTGAAAGCCTTTTCGTATTCAACCTGAATTTCAATAATTGGTCAAAATCCTTTATACTGGACCTAAAAATCGAACGAATTGGATTCCTAAAAGACGAAAACCTCGGACAAAAACCAGAAGGAAAAACTTCACCAAGACTTGCTTTTTCGATCTCGTATTCATGTTGATAAATAGCCTTATCCGCATCCGAAATGTCCCTCCACATTTGACCAATTATCTTACCTATGTCCCATAGTTGAGCATCGGGATTCTCAGCACGGACCTATAACGACGCCAATTCACCCAAAGTAAAAATAACGTCAGCACATGTGTATTTGATACAAATGGAAAGAAAAGCATAATTCTCACCTTAGACCACATCTTTCTACTATAGCGCATATAAGGGACAAGTGGGCGATCTGGTGGTTTTGGAGCCTTCATAGTGAAATCAGACTGATTCTAGAAATGCAGCTAGTAGTTCATAGGTAGCAATAAACTAAAAAGATTTTGGAAAAACTCCGAGAAAACCCAAAGCCTGAAATAACTGCAAATGTGTTCGAATCTCTAAAGGTAACATAGTAATCACCAGTTAACGGAGATGACGTGAGGAGCACGAATCGGTATTAAACCCAGATAAGCCGAAGGTGTTGTCGAAATCACAACGATTAAACTCCTATTTACTGCCTATTCTAAGTGTAAGGCAAGGGCATCCGTTGGAGTGATTTATAGGTGACCTCCTCCAGAAAGAGTAGTCGCGGGTTCGAAGCTCGTCGGAATCTTCGAATTTTGCTCATACCTCAGCACCTTTGTAGTTGTACGTCACATAACACCTTGCCATGAAAAAATAGGCGGTAAATAGAAGTTAAAACATGGCAATGTGGGACTGCGTTTAAAATCACGCTGAACATTCTATGAACGTATGAACGCATTCCATTTTTCGCCTCACGGGTACACCTTTGCGACTCCTTTATGGACGTAAAAAATTGGTGAATTCTTAAAAAATGTTCTTAAATGTGATAATAAATGAAAACACATACCCTCGATGGCGTTGCACTTGGATGACGAAAGTTTGACATTCTACCTGAAACTTTCAGTGCTATTGAATAAAAAAAAGGTTGATGTAAACGGAATACGATGTTAAGATTTATGAAGTATAAACAAGAAGCAACAGTGGTGATCACAGTGGTCTGGTAGGAGTTCAGTAACAGATCGTACATTACACCTTATAAAAGTTTCAGCTCGATAGTAACAAATCACATTCATTAGCTAGTTGAAATGGTCAATACTCTGTTGTATTAAACAGTTCAATACAAACTACTTTGTCTTGTAAAAGAAAAAGTGAAATCAACTACGGAGCACTGGCAGTGGTATTATCGCAATTATGAATATCTTTCATATGAGTAATACAAGAGTACAGTAATACAAGACAAATTTGAATGGTTCGAATACAGCGTAAACAATTATTAAGCATGTATTCACTACTATGAACACTGCTAGAAATCATCTCGTAAGAATGTCATGATGACAGGATAATATGAAGACTATCCTTAACAAATACGAAGTTGACACTTAACGAAAAAAAAACAGCCAGGATAGAACACGTTCCTGGTGATACTACCCAAACTCCACATTCACATTCTTACCAGCGGTCACCATCTCACAAAATATTAAAGACAGGGTAAAGACATTAATCCATTCCCGACTATGCGCGATGACTTCAATTTGCACGGTGTAGATTCTATGGACCGTACGTATTGACATTGATGCGCACGGTTTCTTCCGATTTCTTTCGACATACAACGCTCTTCATCATATTTCTTGTAGTCAATGAATAGTTTGTCGAACACAAATGTCGTGTTCGATCATGGTAAGAAAAAAAGAGGAAAGTTCTATTCATAAGCACACTCACGACGTTTCATTGTTGGGGTAGCGTGGGAGTACGTCTAATTTTTCCTCGCTCATTTAGTTCACATATGGGTCACGCCAAAATTATTTACCGCCAATCTCGAGAACGTCATGAGAACATTGGAATAGGACAAGATGGGAGTGAATATTGATGGCGAGCAATTACACCATCTTCGCTTTGCTGAGGGAACGTTCTCATAACACTAAACATGAGCCAAGCAGAGCGAATGCTTGCCGACTTTGATAAAGCCTATGGAAAGGTTGGTCTTCGACTAAATCTCACAAAAACGGTGTTCATGAGGAACGGATTGGTTTCGGATGCCCTATTCACGCTTAACAGAACGAATGTCTCCGAATGCTCCAGTTATGCCTATCTAGGTCGGGAAATGAACATGATGAACGACTTAGCTCCAGAGTTGAACAGAAGGAAACGAGCGGCTTGGGGAACTTTCAAGAGCATCGAGGTAGTAGTGAGGAGAACAAAGAACACCCGACTTCGTGCCCACCTTTTCGACTAAATGGTAAATCCTGCGTTAGTGTATGCGTCAGAAACCTGGTCACTGCGTAAACAGGACGAAAAATCGCTCAACGTTATTAAACGCCCAGTCGAAAGGTTGATGCTAGGAGTATCCCGTGTCACACAAGTAAGGAAAGGGATCTGAAGGTCCGACCTGCGTCAACAACCAAGAATGAAGGATGTCGTTCTGTACGCCAAAACTGTCGAAAATAAGGTGGGCCGGACACGCAATGCGTATGAAGGATAACCGATGGACAAAAGTCGTTAGTGACTAGACTCCTTGGGATGTCAAACGTACTGCAGAAAGACCACCGACCTCATGATCAGAGTTCTTCACGAAAAGCCCAGAAGAAAAGTATGATGCTCAAGGAGCCCCAGAGCGATCATAACCCACTTGGCCACTGTTGCAGGCGAAAGGGAAAAATGGAAGATTTTCCGGCACCCGCTTGAGTCATTCGACCATCAAAGAGAGTACAAGTGATACAGGTGATGGCTAATACGATCCACAGCGTACCCATATGGAAGTATGTATTCGTTTTAGGCCTTTTTCAGTTCACGAACCGGTTTTTCTATGTTTTCCCATCAACGCCTACTTCTTTACTTTGTTTTCGACGGTGAGCGTGTCCAGCAGTGGTTAGACATGCGTGCTCTGCCACGCACATGGGATTGATCCCGCGCCCCAGGATCAACACGCCTTTAATCCCTCCGGGATCGGCAAGTTGCGAAGGCTGCCGCTAGTCACTGTACAGGCCAGATCTGCATTCAATCGCCTGTAACGACGCTTAGTGAAGTCGAACGCTTGGCGCATCACCCAGGGATTGATCAACGCCGAGAGCTCGAAGAGCTGCTAGCTTTCACTTATTTCGCGTATCCTACTTGCTCCTCTGGATTTCAGTTTCTACATCGTCCTTGAGCGCTTAGTCATTTCCTATTGTTTCCGACCATGGTTTTAACATCGCCTCCGAATCAAGTAGTACGAAGACCGACACTACATGTATCACCCGTAGTCCCGTTGATGGTCGAGTGAATCGAGCGGGCGCCAGTTAATCTTCCATTTTTCCCTGTGGCGTGTAAAAGTAGCCCAGTGGGTTCCGCTCCATCTAGGAACTCGTCGAGCATCATATCTTTCTTCTAGCCTTCTCGTGAAGAACTTTGACCATCGGGTCGGTGGTTTTCCTGCAGTAGGTTTGACATCACGAGGAATCCATTCACCAACGACTGTTGTCCATCGCTTGTGATTCATACGCACTACGTGTCCAGCCCCTATCTTCGACTGTTTGGCGTACAGAACGGCATCCTTAATTTCTGAGGAAAACCGACATACGCCAACTAAACAACGGGACCGTTTTCATCAGCGAAGAAAACGCCAGTCATGAAATAGCGGCGTAAGCTTTGTTGTCCATCTCCTTGACCCACCGTAGACACCTGAGGTTCGGAGTTTTGCAAATATCTCAGCATTATTGAAGACGGGATCGTCAAAACTTCCCACCATTATATGGAATTGATAACGGAAACGTTCTACATCAACCTTTTCTGTTACAAAACCCCATCCGGGACCTTAATATCTCCGCTGGAGAAAAACCACCTGGGATTCTTCTGTCGGAGGTTCGAGTTGCGATAGAACGCATGAAAAGAGGCACTGCTCCAGAACTCGATAATATCACCGCCGGCTGCCTTAGACATGGAAGCCACAATTTACATGTACTTCTGGCAAATCATATGCGACTCTACCTTCAAAAGGAAAAAATCCCAGACCAGTAGAGGACGTCGCGCACGGTCATCCTGCCCAAGAAACGAGACCGAAGGGATCTTCGTAACTATCGTCCCATATACTTGTTGAGTGTTCTATACAATCTCTTTACGAAGATTATCCTGTCGGGCATATCAAGGACATTGGATGAGGTGCAACTGATGCGTCTTCAACTGATGCGTCATAAGAAGGTCATAATCATCAATTGCTACTCACCGATCGACACAGTTGATGAATACGAATTAAATGCATTCTACTATCAGTTGGAAAAGGTCATCCCCAATAATAAAGCATATCATAAATTTGTTGTCGGAGACTTCAACGTCAGAAGAGGAAAGGCCAACGGGAACGAATACAGAATCGGAAAACCTGGATTAGGAGAAAGAAATGAGAATGGGAACCGTCTGGTAGGTCTCCTGCCTGCAACACGCCGCTTCGATGGAGACTCGTTTTCAGAAGAAAGAAAAGCGCCGCTGGACACGGGAGTCTCCTAACGGCATGAATTAGACGGAGATTGACCACATTGTGACAAACAGAAGATGGCGCTACTTGACACATCGGTAGCCCTGTCATCCTGTGCTGGTTCCGATCACCGCCTTCTTCACGCAAAAATTCGATTCAGCTGTAAACTGGAAAAGAATTTACTTCAACGACTACGAGGAAAAAGTATAGCTGTATACGACGAGAACATGTGAACGAAATCCTATCCAAAAGTGACTGGCATATTGAAGAAGATCCGAACGAAGACTACGAACTGCTTGTCGAAGGACTGAAAAGCTGTGCCGAATTCGCCGCAGTTCCTCAAACAAGAAGATCGGATCGCATCTTCATCACTACTAAGGAGTTGCTCGAAAAGAGAAGGGAACTGAGGCTTGATCCTACTGCAACAGGTTTTAAACGGCATGGAACAAATGCCAGCTGCAGAAGAGCTTTTCAGGAAGATCTACAACGGTACAAGCAGAAGAAACTATTGGAGGCAGCAGAGAAAAGAAGCAGTCTGAAAAAAAGGCCGCCGGGACTTTTGTGAATATAATGTTCCGCTGACAGCCCTGATGAATGGAGATGGAATCGTTAAAACTTCCCGCCGTAATATGGAATTAATAGCGGAAACGTTCTACACAAACCTTTTTCGTTCCACAATCCCAGTCCCGGACCCTAATATCCCCGCTGGAGAAGAGCCACCTGGAATTCTCCTGTTGGAGGTTCGAGTTGCGATAGAACGCATGAAAAGAGGCACTGCTCCAGGACTCGATAATATCACCGCCGGCTGCCTTAGACATGGAAGCCACAATTTACATGTACTTCTAGCAAATCATATGCGACTCTACCTTCAAAAGGAAAAAATCCCAGACCAGTAGAGGACGTCGCGCACGGTCATCCTGCCCAAGAAACGAGACCGAAGGGATCTTCGTAACTATCGTCCCATATACTTGTTGAGTGTTCTATACAGTCTCTTCACGAAGATTATCCTGTCGGGCATATCAAGGACATTGGATGAGGTGCAATCAGTAGAGCAAGAAAGATTCCGAAAAGGATTTTGCTGTATGAACCACATCCAAACTGTGTCCAGGGTCATCGAAGCTTGCCGGGAACACCACCTGCCTTTAGTGCTAACTCGACTATGAGAAAGCGTTTGACAGTGTCGTTTGACAAACGAATGTAATCGTATCAGCACTCATCGGCCAAGGAGTAGACCCGTCCTACATAAGAAATCTATCTGACTGTTATCAGAACTGCACCGCGAAAATACAGCTTTCCCACCAACCTTTTACCACACCCATAGGGAAAGGGTTTCGACAAAACAACACGATATCGTTAAAGCTGTTTAGTGCCGCATTGCAATGGATAATGAAGTCACTCGATTGGGATGAGAAAGGCATGCGTATTAGTGGAAAATTCCTATCAAATCTTCGTTTTGGCGACGACATTGTCATCTCAAGAAGTACTAGCGAAACAGAGACGATGACCAATGAGCTCAACGAAGTGGGAAAAACGATCGAACTACGCTTAACTCGGAGGAAGATCCAGTTCATGAAAAACTCATGATGCGGAGGTAACATGAAAGAGGAACTAGATAGAAGGAGAGCAGTTTGGGCCACATTCGGGCCTCTCAAAGAAGCCACCGACAGACTGAAGGACCCGAAAATCCGCGCTCATCTCTTTGATTCTACGGTCTTCTCAGCGCTCTGTTATGTTGCAGAGACGTGGGGTTGATACTTCAACCACGTTAGGAATGCTTCGCACTACTCCCAGAGTGCTTGAGCGATGTCTTCTGAAATATAACCGGCACTCTCTATATATACCCGGAATGCGAAGCTCTGACCTTCAAAATCTGTCACATCTTCGAGATCCAGAATATACATCGATAGCGAAACATAGAAACATAATGAGATGAACAAACGAGAGAAGAACGAAAAGAACAGTAGAGTGCACTCCACAAGAATGCAAGCGTCACCAGGGACGACCACCTATACGACCAGCGGACGTCTTCGTAAACAAAGTTAATCAGCTATACACGAAGCTGCAGTTGTTTTACAAATCACATTCTGAGACTCACATGTGCCACCATGCTCGAATAACACCACTGTCATGGACGAAGATTGCAAGGGAAAGAAATGGCAAATGTGCCGGGTCCGCACAACTCGTGAAGACGGACCGTCCAAGTATCTAAGTAAGTATTTACCCTTCTATGTCTTATGTCCAACTACTTTTCCACTTTTTTCAGAGCAATCCTGGCTCTTGTGTGTGATGAAGGAAAAAATAGTCCCACGAAGGATAATACAATCCAACCATTGCTGGAGCAAAAACATGTGTAGCGATGACTCCCTAATGCCACTTAGAGTAATGGCCTCATCCTTCGCTTTATCCCATACAAGTTGCACAAATATGTCATTAAATTACTCAAATTGTGCATAAGAAGTGATGTATACGTACAATGTTATGGGATATAAGGGTGAAGACTACTCCAGAACTGGGAATTCCACGGAGTTATTGGTGACGTGGTTCATGGAAAACACTGGATGAAGGAAGCCATCGGCACACTGACAATTCATATATGTTTAGTTATCACTGGCTGATAGTTTGCAGCCACAGAAGCATCCATCCTATTCGCAGGTACAGGAAGAATAAGAAAGGATTCGAAGATAAGTCAGCGAGGTGAAGAGAAGACAGTTGAAGGCTTAGTAGAATTGGGGTGGTATAATTGTGCTCAAGTGGGACGCCAAAGACAACCAAGACCAAGTTTTAGAAAACTACAACCAAAGGGCATTCTTCATGAAGACAAGCAACCAGATGGCCTTATTCTTCGTATGTCAGAGGAAGCATTAACTAAGAAAAACGAAGTACAAATTCTTTAGCAACGAGTCGATTAAACAAGCGAGATTTAAATTAGCATGATATAAGTGTCTCTACACATGTTGTCAATGGGGCCATGTTATTTCATAGTATTTATGTATATATGCATAAATCTTTAGTGAAATAGGCTAAAGTCTCTAAACCTTTTGATTCTGTAGGCTTCCAAGCTCTGAGGTCTTCAGCTACTGCGACTAGCGAAGAACTGTCAGCAGTTCTCGGAAGATCAGCATTGAATCAATTGTGATAACAAAAGTTACTTCGTGATTGACCTGAGCGTATTTACGACCAATGCTAAGGAAAAAATGTGGTCTTTTCAGAAGCCTAGTTTATTAGTAGTCCCACACGATGTTGTTGTAAACCTTTATTGCGAATATTTTTGAGTTACCATCTTCTTCAGATAGGCACTGTCCACAGAACTGATTTTTTGAGATACCGGAGTTCATAGTCAAACTGAATCCAATTTAGTAGAGAAGAACACCACGTGAGTTAAATGACCTCACCCACCCATCCAGTAGTGCCCTTCTTACACAAAACAACTAATCGATTGCCAGCCTTGTCTTCCATTGTAAGAACATATTCTATAAATGTCAGAATTAACATTTGAAAAGTGTTATTACCTGGCAAATAGAGAAGCGATACTCTCGAAACCACCCATCATTTAGGACCAGAATGAATTGAACATCCTATCCGGGTGTACTGGTGAGCTCACAATAATAAGGTACAAAAGACTTTTCACTTTGATCACTGCCTGAGATGCTCCGAGAAACGGTTACGGACACGAAGTAGGACTTACAAAACCAATCACAAATCTTAAAACTAACATCTATATTCGTCTTAATGCATAACTTATGGGACAACCAATGCTTCCAAACTAGCATTTATAACTAACATTTATTTCAAGTAGTACAAACTAAGAACAGCATGGATCAGAACAATTTTCCATGAAAATTGCTACTTTCACAAGACATACGACGCGAACAAAGTCCAACTACTCGGAATGCTTCAGTCGACTTTGGCATCCATATGAACACTATTTAAAACGGCAAACTCCAAAATACTAAAGGCTACAGACTAGGATTAGAGGACTACCACCATATTAACTAATATGAAGCGCTTAAGAAATATGGACGAAATCTCGCCAATTGTAATGATAAAGAAAACCTGAAAGATTATAAGCACCAAAAGATCGCTTTAGGAAGAGAAAACTAAAAGTTTGGATGCTCAATTTTAAGTGTGGTACTATAGTGCATTGAGCTAACCAATTCTGAGAACCAGGTGACGCTAACAGCACTGCGTTTCTCTTTGTTCTATTTTGTATTCTACCGAACATTACTTCAGAACTAAACAACTATAATCGTCCGAAATACGAACAAAATATCATGCTAAGCCACAGGACACACGAAGTAAACATCACAATAGACCAATATTCCGAACAAATAACACTTAATAGGAAACACAGTGCACCAAAAATGATACAAGGATAAGAATTACAACGCCCTTTAATACCGAAACTATCGACCTCGAAACTGTTATAAAAAATACTTGAATCAGTAGTTGGACGAGCGTTTCTATGATGGGCGGTAGAGTGTTGTTACCATTCGCCAGAGATTTACGGAAAAGCGATTAGTTTGGACAAATAACTAGTTTCTTAAATTAAAATACAACAAATTATGAAAAACACACTGAGTTAGAGAACATGGCACAGAATATAACACAGAGAGGTCACTGAGAATTAAAATGTAGCTCAGATGAAGAGAAATGTGACTTCACAGCACATACATAGTTTAGAAACCCGATTAGATCGATCGTAGCACTACATTAAGCGAATTTCACATGCACTTTAAACTCTTAGATAACGTCAGATACAGTGGTTGGACACACTTTTTAGATAAATATGTTTCTCTAAGCACGTAAATCTTGTGAGATAAAACTACATTCCGATTGGTTCTCTACAACGGCCGAGTGAAGTTTGCTTGTTGCTTGTTAGTACTTCGAATCATCAAATTAAGGAAGGAAGATTTTGACAATAACGCTATATCACTTGACCATTTAAACAGCAATCGTAAAGAAATCAATGAATATATGTAATTATTGAAAGCTTCACCAAAAACCGTTATAAGGTCACAGAGGAACGTGCAACGAGGAAATGCAGTGACAACGAAGTTTGAACAGAAAACTAATCCACAAGATCAATTGTAACTCATCTTGCGGAGCTCATCATTCTAAGTTAAATACATGAAATAAAAATAAATAGAATCAAATGATAACAAACTCGTAAAAATAAAGCGACACGTGTGCGTGTGTATGTGTTATATATAAAGCAAACTGACTGCGTAATAACCGATCATTCTAGAAACCAGCAAACAAAAGCGAGCGCAATCCACTAGGATAACTCAGTGAACAATTTCCAGTGAATACGTTTAACGTCTGTGCAACTCGTTTTCCTAATTGACAATAAAAGAGCACTAACGATTTGGTTACAGAGGAAATTATGTCATTATGTTAGAAGTTGAAGCTAAAATACTAGTCCTTTCCTGCGGCGTAGAAGGCTGGTCATATGTGCAGAGGTTTGAGATCGCATTCAAAGCTGCGTTCTCTACTGCCGTATCCATCGTCGAACCTCTCCCATGACAGACCTCAATGGTTTGTGTATCGCGTGTTGTTTTTTTTGCAACACACTGAGACCATCATAATAAAGTTCAACAAAAGAAAATAGGAAACTCACCCGCCGCACTGCATCTCTTAAGAAACGTCTAGGAACTAAAAACTCACAATTGGTCGTTCCAAACCTAGTGACGCGAGAGCAAAATACAGTGGGTCGCTTCCATCGAGAGACTAAACAAAGCAAAGCAAAATTTATAAAAAAGAATACCAAAACATTTGTGCTTTCCCCTACCCTACAAAAAATGGACCAAAACCGTACAATAATCTGAGCTAAACGATACAAAGGATTTGATTAAGTTCAGCAACTCCCAACCTTAGGGAAGTTCGTGTACTGCACACTGAATTTGAAAGTTTCAGACATCATCTCAAGTCGGCGCTTTGCGCTAAGAATTTTACAAGACTCTGATGAATCAGTGGTACCTGCAAAGAACTGTGTTTACAATGACAAGAAAACGTGCAAAATACTAGTTAAAATTCTACAGAAAAAATGAAAATGTTCTTTTGTTTCTATCGGCTACAAAAATATATACATACAAAACAACCGTTCTTCAAATTTAGAGTACGTCAATAACTTTACTATAGACGGTTTAACCTTCAGAACAAGAAAGTATATTTGCATTTTGAAGTGCTTGCATCGATGCTCTTGCGATTTCACGAATTTCGCATTTCTGATCGTCGGACAAGGTCCTTTAAATACGGAAATTTATGAATACAATCAATATCATCGGCAATAAAATGAAAAGCACGCTATCAAATCTCACCTTTTCGCCTCTTTCGTTCGTCGTAAACGTCTTACTCGACCTTCTATCAGAACATCTGCCTTCAGTGGTGCTAGTTCTGGCTCCGGGTAATTACTGTCTTCTTAAAAAGATGTGGTTCTACATTTGCGCGCCAAAATCAATTTCAGAGAGACCAATTATATGGGCATACCTGGTGGCGGGCATGCCTTCACCTGATTGCTAAAAGTTACACGGCGACGACCAGGTGACGGCGGCACATTTGATGAACTCTCCATAGATTCACCATCAGTTAAAAGAAATGAAGATGGGTCAAGCGATGTTTGTTGAGAACTCTGGTTATTCATATTCAAAGCTCTGTAATGAAAAAATTCGATTAATTTCCAATCTTCCCATAGCGGTTGGAAAACGTACGATATCTGTTCTTGAAGCGAATATTCTTCATTAGTTTTTGAAACTCGTTGGCCTGTAGGAGACGTTGAGTCAAGATCCAGATCATTTGGCAACGACGATGAAATAAGATTGTTTGGATCAAAAAACCCTTAAAAAGTTAAATTCAGCACACTTGCTCAGTTTAGATGTTAAAAGTAATCTAAAAAGATTACCAATATTGAGTGGAGAATCAGTCTTCTTTTTAAGTAAACTTTTCCCAGGTGGTGGTAATGGTTTAACATAGCCTATCTCAGCCAGCATAGCTTCTGCCGCTGCACGCTTCGCAAGTCGTTTGTTCGGCCCACTTCCACAACATATTCGCTTACCACAACTGACCTATATTAGCAGATTCCATTTTACAACACCTTCGGCGGAGCGAAACACACCACTTCCATATCTTGGATCGCTTTTTAAATAATGACCTAACTTTTGAGTCCACCCTACAGTGCGAAAGCAGTTTCATAAAAATTTAAAAACGGCAAAGTCTAATCAGAGGTGATCCTTCTTACATTTGCACCCTTTCGATAAATTTTTTGAATCCCACGACTCGAAATAAATTGTATAGACAACATAATCGATTTGAAGCCTGCACAAGAATTACTTATGAGACCGCTTTTCACATGCTGTGCGGATCCCATTAGTTTCCTTTCGTTTTGCTGCGTTCTTGAAATGAACGTCATGGTGACGGTGGATTTCGTGTGTTCTGCTGCTGATTGGAGACCCATCTTATCTCAGTCATACGCGTTGAGTGCTGATCGAGTACGTTTTCCTCTGCAATCCGGAGAGAACCGTAAAGGTGCTCTCAGGTCAACACCATGAAGGTCTCCGTTCCATGTAAATTGGAAGAATGTTTGCTAACTTCAATTCTTCCATGAGGACAGCGAGTCCTACGATTTATCGAAAGACTGCAGGATGAGGATGTAATAACTCGAGTTCGGACAATGAATCGTTACAACAAAAACTTTACTAAGATTGCAACATAGTGTGAAAAACATTTCAAAAAAAGTCGTAAGGCGCACCTGAACAGTGAACTCTTTATAACGGCTTTGACCTTGTTCTGATACCAGCTCAAATTGAGGTTCATCTTCACAGCGAGCTTGAAGAACTTGAATGAGTCGTGAAATCGGATTAATTTGATGACCGTAAGTTGGATCCATTTTCATGTCCTGGAATGGATAATGAAGCATTTATATAGATAGACATGGTCAGTTTTACAGTTCATCCCAAGTTCTGCTAACCTTTACAATCGTTTTCCTCTTTGGTTCTCTTGAAGAATTCAAAACACGTTTTTGAAGTTTATACAGCGAAGACGCAATAAAAAGTGGAGAGTTTTCTTAAAAAAATGATTTTCCGAAATAATCTGTATTCGCTATTTTGGCCGAGTCCATCATACTAGCCGATAATATTAAATACAAAATGATTTACCAATGTCACCCAATCTAGAAAGGACATTTGCACATGCAGTTTGTGTAGCTTCTTTTTTCTTCCGTCCCTCTCCTATGGTTTCCACGACGACCTGCTACAGGACACATAAACGTGATGTAACACTATGTGAACAAATAAATGTAACTCACTTCATTTTTTGGATTCTTTAGCGAACATCGCACCACATAGGAACGATCATGTGGAGGGCCCACCTCCTTTATTACCTATAGTAAACGAATTCACGGAGCTGAACGCTAAGATATAACGCGAAAATTCTTTCCACCATTACTACATCTCTTTATTTCTAAAACGGAACACAACATGTTGGCTTGACGAAATAACACCTACAGATGAACAAAAGCAGGAAATAGAACACATTAAAAAAGAAGACTAATGAGTAACCGACCTCAAACTCCACATTGAGCTTCATCTGAAGAGCGCATTCATGCACCTGACTAATCACTGATTTCTGTTTGTGTTTGGGAATCGAATCACCCTCACTTGGTGTTTCCTGAGATTGATGTTTTCTCATCTATACAGATTAAAAACATTATGGGAAACCAATGCTCAGTATTACAACCGCTAAGGATGGCACTTAGTATAAGGATTCTCATGTCATTACTAGACTTCCTATTTTGAAAACTTTCTTAACAGCCGCAAACCAATGATTGAAACCCAGTTCAAAAAATGGGTTTTTTTTTTTTAAGAATTCCGATCGAACGATAATGCCTCTACAAAGCCCACAATAAGTGAAAACATTCAAGATTACATAACGAAAGGATACAACTACTCACTGATTTGTCTACAGATTTATCAACAACGTTGACCAACAACTGTTCTGGTTTCAACGTGGCCGATGGCTTTTGTTGAGCACATTTACGTTTCTGTTCATCCATTTTGAGTTTGGCATCAAGAGCTTGAATATGAGGGCCAAGAAATCCAAGACACTAAACCTTGCAATATTAAAATTTTTTATTATTCATTTTTTATTGTATATGATCCGTTTTCACGTCTACTGTGAGGAATCCAGCACATTCAGCACATTTCACATTCGACTCGTTTCCTCGCATCCACTGTCCACGAAGATCTTCCAACTTTTTACATGTGGCTTCGATTGCTGCTTGAGGATTTTCATTTCATGTTGAATGCCGTAAAATGCTGGTCGAGCAATTCTCCTTGGAGTCCTGATATAGGCGAGTGGAATGTTCCCAAGTGGATTGCAGAGAGTGATTTTTCCCCAGACAAATCCGGTACCAATTTCTCGACCCCGGAGGTATAGAGGCTTGGTTGGCCCGGAGCGGAACAGAACTACCATCATGCTCGTTATAACAAACATCACTACCACTCTGCTATCCGCCCTTATTAATATTAAACACACTAAAACAATTTTCGGATCTTTTCTAGCATAACGAGTAGCTAACCTGAGCTGCCGCATTAGATTTAGCCTGCGCAAATGTGTTTCCTATGCCAGAAAATATACGACCAGGACCAATGGCAACGGCCACCACGCAAATGCGCTCCCCTGTTGGTTGCGCGGAGAACACTGTTCCAGAACGAGACGTGGGAGAAACTACGAAGAGTGGATTCACAGGTGGAAATGGGCCAAGAAGAGGTCCTAAATCAAATGGTGATGTTAATATCAAAAGGACAGTAATAAGACATAATTCTGGATTCCATAAACAACAAAACCTAATGACTTCTCCTCACAAGCATTTAGAGACTAATCTATCTTGTTAGACAAATTACGATTGTAATTACCTAGCAGTAATTACAGATCATTCTATGATGGAACAGAACCTTATGGTGGGTGCAACACAACACTTCCAAAAACCTGGTACGAACACGACTGATCAGCAGTTATTTCAAAAACAGGGAGGCTTTATTCGTATCCATGACTCACGCTTAAAGCACTGACAAATTGACAAAGAAAATACTACTGATGGAAAGTCTAAAATGTCTTTGTTACATAAATACAAATACGAGACCCGAGACATGCCACATCCACTTTACAAACAGAGTAGCATAAAACTGTTACGCTTCTTCTCAAAAAAGCGTTTCGAACGATGTTTGATTTTCAGACACTTAAATAACGCCCTCAGATAACGTGTGAGTCCCAGCAGCTCTATTCGTTTGGATGTCTAACGACCGTCATCCACGTCAGTGGCAGCAATCGCGTGCAACTTCAGCTGCGATTAGACAATCTGCCATTTCCTTCCTTACTGAACATAGATCAGCTATGATGTTCCTTGAAATCTCAAGTTAACAAAGCGAGAGCATTCCATCTTGCCCACAAGTGGTCATTGTAAACAAAGGTGTGTTGTCTCTGTGGTTCGTTAACATTCCCTGCTAGTAGAAAATAACATAGTGAATGCAGTGCATGTATTGCTATTTGGTAGTCTACTATTTTAGCACGTTAGCTCACTCAGAGGATAAAACATCATTCACGACCGCTTGTGATAAAGATCTTGAACACCCTACGACTCCCACGGGATTGCAAGAAAAAGTACGCTTGATGACAACTCAATACACCAATTAGATAAAAGCAGATCCATCCCCAAACAACAGCAAAACCTATGTAATTATATTATTACCCATGAATATCATCGCGTGCAGATGGATGAAATCTCACTTGTTCAACTACTTCGCCACTTTAAGTACGTTTGTTCGCAGAAAAAAAGCGAATAAAACAGTGTATAAAAGCAATGACAGAGCTCTCGGCGTTAATATCCCTGAGGGATGCGCCTTGCATTCGACTTCTTTAAGCATCTTTAGGGGTGATTGAATGCATATCTGGCCTTTACAATTACTCGTAGTGGACTAGCGATGGATCAAACCAGTGCTGTTATCCTCCCAGACAAATCTGGTAACAATTTGACAACCTCGGAGGTATGGGAAGCTTAGTGAGCATGGGGCGTCGGGATCGATCCCATGTGTGCATAGCGGAGTCATGTGTGCTCCGATTGCTGCGCCACACAGGCCAAAAAAGGTATATTGGCCCAAAAAACTTAGAACTCTGGAGTTGTGAAAGAAAACTTCCGCTTTATTGGCAAGGATGTGTTCGCTCTAATTGTTTTCTTTTAATCAAAAAGTTCACTAGACAGATGAGCCAAGATATGTCTGTTTAAGGTTTAATGGCTCATGTCACAACCACGACAATATGCACTGATTTTAGTAGAAGACTGCACCTATAATAAGGCTGTCTTTCTTAGCAAATAATGCTCGACGCCACTTCCTCAATAACAGACGATAATTTCACGGTCACCAAACCTTTCGAAAAAAAAGCTAAGTTAGAATAAGCGTAAAATAAGCTTAGATTCAGAGCTTCAGAGATTTAAGAAAATTTGAGTGAAATGGTTTTTTCGAATTTTCAACGCAAGACCAGCAGATACAAACAAGAACGATATACTAGCAAACACGATCGTGTACTGCTGGACGGAGTTCCTGCTGTGTTTTGATTTGCGAAATATTGACCTTGCAGCAATAAGGTGCAAGGAATATGTCGTGGGTTTCAAATAATTGCAGTTTCACTTAAGCAGAGCACGATAACTTCTTGTAATCAAGGATCTGTATATTCTAGTGTCTTTCCAACAACTAAAATCTCATATGCGTTATGTCATGAAAGTTCGAAGTTTGAAAAGGATATTATTTTCGCATTCCTGCATTACATAGAATGCAGCTAAGATTTTATGTGTTAATAATGCTCATCATGGTTTGTTTCAATACGAGTATCTCGCCTATAACCTCGATAAAACTCTGAATGTAAATGATGCAGTCACAAGTACATACGCATGCCAGCCAGTGGATATCTCCACAAATTATGGACTATAGTGAACCAATAACTTATATACCGTTTTGCAATAGTTAAATGCTGAGTAATATGCTTCACGTACTGAAACAATAGCAACTGTCCAGTTTTAAAAGAACAAAAAAGCCATACATTCTTAATATTAGAGCACTAGAAGCTACGTAGTGATTTAATGCTTGTTTTACCTCCATATGATCTTTAAACATAAGCAGCTAAAAGTCAAACCTCGCGGTATCTTTGGTGGAAAATAATGCGAAGATGGAGCATAATCACCACGTGGTATATACCCACTACGATCAAAGCTGTAGACAAAAATATATACAGATTCCCAATCTTTAGCAAACGATGGAAACCATTTCTCACCAGTTCTGTACTCCATTACATGTTGCAGGAAGTGAAGTAAAAGGCAAGAAACGAGACTGCAAAAAAAAAAGATAGGACTTCAGCTTACGCAATTGATATTCATTCAGAAAAACTTAGTTGCACAACTTTTCATACCACTTGGAAATTTGGGTATTTCCTAGTTTCAAAGACTATATATATATA